CTTCGTCTGACTCCTGGTCATCTGCTTCTGACTTCTGAGTGAACCGAGACTTGACCCCGAGTCGCTTTTCGAGCTCTAACATCCGCTGATGATACCCGTCGTCTAAGACGCTGGAAGTAGACCGACCAAACTTGTCTTCTTCATCGTCGTCCTCGAGATCAGAGTACTCATACTCCCAGTCCTCGTCATCATCGGCAGAGCCATCGCCATCCTCAAGGTTGAGTTCAGCCACGACTTGGCCCACCTCTTCCATGCCGTATTTCAGCATCTCTCGGCGGAGAAAGGCATCTTCCTCAGACTCGTCTTCGGGAATGACGGGCGCTTCGCGGCTGATGTTTTCCTGGCTCCTGGCGGTTTGCATGATCTCTTCAACTCGTTGAGCGTTCCTCGACACCTGTTGCTCTGCAGAGGGCTTGGTGTCTTGGGCGAATGAGACGGACTTCTTGGCTGGCACAGAGTCGTCGACCTCTGCTTCGGGTAGCGACTCCTTTACAGATTGCGCGGGATCCGGGGCTGGTGATGTTGACTCGGATGCCTCAGCCAGAGGCTCGTCGGTGACGTCTTCCACGATGGGCTCTGTCTTCTCCGTCTGCGAGGGTTGGCCGGCCGGGATGCCCTTGACGCCTGCCTTCTCCAGGATCTCCCTGATCTGAGCGCTCGAGTCGCCAGGCTGCTGCAATCGGCTGGAGAGCACATTACCCTCTTCGTCGAGCTCCTCGATGATCTCCGTTATAGGCAAGCCATCCTCATCCCGTACGTCAGGGTTGCTGAGAACGCTGGCGGCAGCGTGCTTCTCTTCCGCAGTCTCGAGCTGCTTCTCAAGAGTGGCGATGTTCTTGGAAACATAGTCGATGCGACGCGAAAGCAGGTTGACAATTTGGTCGGCAGGCTTCAGATCAATGCGCCCAAAAAGGTCGTTGATCTCTTTCTTGTCGACAACCTCGCCCTCGAAGTCTCTGCGAATGCGCGCAAGAGCCTCCCGACTGGCAGGCTGGGAAACCGACTCGATTTCCTCTCTCAAGGACTCGTATTCAGCGTCCCATTTTTGCCAGTGCTGCAAAGCCTTCTGCAGCTTAGCAACAGAGTCTTCAAGCTGCAGGCGATGCTTTTCCAGGTCCAGGAAACTGTCTCTGACTGCTGCCATGGTGAAGGAAAAAGAAGGGGAGAGAAGGGAAATTGAGAAGTTCTCGGAAGCAATATCAGGAAAAGGAAAAAAATTCCCCGTCGGAAGGTAGGGGTTCGGAGCTCTAAGAAAATTAGGTAATCTTCTCAAGTGCAGGTTATTACGTAAGGCCCACTTAGCTTTCCAGCAACGCGCCCCTGTACATACGCATACCCGTAAGGTACTTTGGATAGGGGCCCTCACCTCCCCTGCAAAAGGCAGTGCCGCAGCTCTTACTGTTACCCGTTGATTCTCGGCGGCGATAGATACCTCACAATTCACTAACGTATTCAATTCTTATGAAACAAACACGCTCAGCTATAGGAGAACCTTGCCTTTATTATACCGTGAACGCGCCAAAAGGTCGAGATTGAAGTCAAAACGGTTCAGACTTTCATTCTCACCTGCTTGAGCCATTCATGATGAGTGGATGGATTCGCGCCTACTGATATCAGGGACTAAGATAAAGAAAATGTGTTACATCAAACGACTATAATATCATCATTTCGATTCATATGGAAGGCTTTGGTATTCCGAATCAGAATGCTAAGATCTAGGTCTGATGCCAATCATGTACTTTCCCGCTTTCAGATGAAGGACTGTGAAATGAACAAGTTCATGAGACTGATTGGGGATTAGAGACAGGTCGTACCGCCGAAGTAGAGACACAAGGGTGAGCCGCAGCTCCGTCCACGCGAATCTTCTCACTTGATTAGTACCAGGCTGAAAATGAGAGCCATCGGGCGACTTACTGCTTTCCAATACAGTTCCGCGATCCCGCAGAAAAGGGGTAGTATGCCGTTCTTTCGTTGGCGGCCGTGCCCTTGTAGTCAGACAGCCATCTCTCGGGAACGAACTTCTCTGCGTCAGGCCACTGCTTCTCATCCCAGTGCAGTACGGTGGTGTTTGCAGTCACTCTAGTCTGTTCGATGTCAGTCAAGCTCTGGGAAAGATGGACTTTGACTTAAGTGCCTCGTAGGAAAGGCGGCTTACCCCAGCTGGGATCAAGTGATCAGACAGAATCACATCTTCATCAGTCTGTCTTTGAAGCCCTGATAAACTGTCAGTAAATCATACGTTCAGACTTTAGGAAAGAGGGATCCTACCGCCAGTTGCCGGAGGAGCAAGCCTCATTGTCTCTTTCAAAACAGCGTGCAAGAACGGCAAGTCCGTCATTTGGTCGTCTGAAACCGGCGAATTCGATAACGGAAACCTCCCCCGAATCTCGTTGACAAGGTTCTGGTAGGAAGGAGGGTCATTGAGCAAGAACATCATTGCGAATGTGAGCGTGCTAGCGGTCGTCTCGCTGCCCGCTAGCCAAAAGACGAGCATCTCGGAAAACACCTCGATACGCGACAATGTCTCTGGGTTCTTTTCATGCGTGTCGAGGAGAAGCTGTAGCAGGTCAGGCTTGGCCAGCTTGTCGGTCGACGCTTGCCTCTTTTCGATGATATCACTGATGAGTTGAGCAAGTTCGGGATCCCGAAATTTGGGTAGGAAGGGGATATACTTCAAGAAGGGCAGGAGTTGATACTTTTCCCCGCCAATCGTTAGCCATTTCGTCTCGCCACCAACTGGAGTGACACTTACAATTGTGCCCCTCTTAAAGCTCTCAGAGAACTTCTTGCGGATAGGATGCTCTCCATTCTTCACCAACTCAAACGAGCCCCCAAACGCAGTTGCGCTCATGATGTCGGACGCCAGGCGGCCCATGAGGTTCCAAGCATCAATGACGGTTTCGCCTCCATCCCGGGCGCACTGATTGTCGATGAACTCCTCGAGCGCCTCGATACAACTCAGCTTCAGCGGCTCAAGGCCCTTGAGGTAACTGATGGAGAAGCCATGAGAGAAGAGCCTTCGCCGGGTGCGGTACTGCGACCGATCTCGCATGGTGAAGAGCGTGACGCCGTCTTCGTTTTGGCTGAACTTTTCATACAGGACGCTCTTTCGGAGGTCCATTCCTACTAGAATCTGGTGGACGGACTTTTCGTCGGAGACGAGAACGAGATCGGGGGCTTTTCAATTAGGTGTCGGCAAAGGTCATCATGTTTAAGAGACGCGTGTTACAACTCACCGACTCGGACAATGTCACCGTATTTACGGTTGTAGTTGATCCCCTTCTCAAACGCCTTGCCTCTGACGACTGCCACCATCCAGGGCAGAGCCGTGAACCTATTGAGCCACGGCCCAGGTATCTTGGCCAACGGGCCTGTGAGGCCATTCCATAATGCCTTGAGGACCTTCAATGCTCCGTAGGCAAGTATGAGGAATAGGCATGCTGATAAGAGAGTCTTCACACCCGGGTTGCCCAGCCGCACGACAATCAGTTCGTTTGAAATTCCCATCACAGTGTAGAGCTGGCTTGTAAGGTAGCCGGTGTTGATGTGCAGGAATATCGACAACCTTTCCCTCTTAATCGACTTTTCGAAGCCAATGCTGACTTTGTTCAGTAATCCATAAAAGTTGTTTGAATGAGTTCTTTTAAAGTTTGCGGTTCCCCATCCCATATATACTTATCGAAGGGTTGCTATTAAAAGGCCGGATCTGCTCATGGCTGTAGCTTTCCGCCGCCCCCGCTCCAGACCGGAGGTTCAACATGAGCTGGAATGTCTACGTCCGTGTAAGACAAGGCCAAAGCAGAGCCGATTTATCGATCTGCAGGCATCCTTCGTAGCGTAGACTCCGTAAACACTTGGTTTTCCATCAATAAGCACTAAAACCGGCCTACCATATCTTCTTCCTTCTTTCTACACATGACACAAATGAAGTCATCTCGAAGAAACTCACGAATTTGACAAGTCCAATAGCCCCGATCAGTGGAATGTGTATACTCGTTCCTTCGACGCCCATTGTTTTCGAGTATCGCATCATTTTGCAAATCAAGCTGTCGAGCCAAGTCCCTGGTTCAATTCACGTCGTACACGATACCCGAGACAAATCTAAAGATGCCTAAATCGAGTCGCCGAGCATACTTCGCGCCCATGAAGTAGATTGTATCCCCGACCGCCAACATAGAGACGGAAACGAGCCACAGATCCCAGTTCCTAGCCTTCCGCACCGGCATCCGCATGTCTGCCGTCTGAAGGTGCATCGGTCGCAGCGCTCTTCCGCCTACCAAGCGCAACTCGTGATCAAAGATGACCTCCTCGACTATGTCGACAGCAAGTTCCTTATGTCGGGATGCTACGCGCGCTATCCTCTTCATACGCTCAACGTTCCTGCCAAAGGATCCGTCAACGTCGGATACGATTCGGCCGATCTTTTCTGAGATCTCAGTGGTAGTCAAGTCAAACTTGTCCAGGGCGAGACGGACTCCTGCCATGACGAGTCAGGCGCTGTTGGCGAGCTGATCGAAGAAGAAGCCCAGAATCAGAGTGGGAGTTCCGTGAAATAGGGTCTCATTTGCGCTGGAACCGCCTCCGTGAGTAAGATAGAGCCTGGTATTGGGATGATCGAGAACGGCTTGCTGGGGAGCGAAAGATGGGACTCGGATATCGGCGTGCTTCTCATCCATGATATCACCGACTGGAAGCTTGCCACCGTTGGGTGATTTGACATGTGCTGATCTGTCGAAATTCTGCCTTGCTGACTTCCCAATGGACCATATGACGCCGTTGGTATGCCCTGCATCTATAGCCATGACAAGACCGGTGAGTATCTTCAGGAGTTCTGCTGGTGGAAGTACAATATGAATGCCTAGAGCGACATACACCGTCTTATCATAAGACTCTAGAAACGCTCGGTAGCTTTCATCGAGCGGAGGGTACTCATCCCCCAAGATCGGCCCAACCACTTGCATAAGTGGTGGCAAGTCTTTGGCCGGCTCAAGTCCAAAGAATCAGTTGACAAACACAAGGTGGTTCGGTTTAGGCGCCACTGGAACCGAATGCTTCACGACTTGTCGTTTCCGCATCTCCCGTGTCCAGCTGATCCACGCAAAAACATGCGGCAGCGCCCAGAACAAGACAATCTCATTCCTGATACGGAACCAAATCGAAGCCTTCTCCGACGTGGGCGTGAAATCGACCTGGAAGCCCGGCTGGCCGGGGATATAACTCACAGGCGCCAGGAGATACGGCATCTGCGGCCGCATGACGGCAATGGGGACGCCAAACTCAATCATCATATCTTTGGCCGCGGCCTCGACAAAAAAGTCTGCGATAATCATGTCAGGCTTGATTTCTGTGTCGAGCATGAGTTCGCGTAAATGGAACCAAGTGTCCGGCCAGTAGCAGTCAAAGAGATACTTGGATTCCATGATGGATCCGACGCCGTCGCTGGGCCGCCACTGTATCATGTGCGCGTAGTGCGCTTCGGCGTCGGCGTCTGGCATGGCTGGACCGAAGCTGTGGACGCGGGTGATGGATGGATAGTCTGACGCCCAGTGCTCCTGGCCGGAGTTGGTTCCGAAGTGGACTTCGTGGTCGCGGGCTGCGAGTACAGCGCCGAGCTCGAGGACCGGGGCGGCGTGGGTGAACCCGCCGACAGTCGAGCATAGCAGGATACGCCGCTTGAAGGAGCAGTCTGGTTGTTACATGACTGTGGATGTAGTTTCGTTCATATATAGAGGAGTTCATACTGTTTCTAAATAGACACAGCTTCTGGGTAGCAAAGCGTTTTTCTATGTCTCGACGAAGTCATTGTAAAGTGGGCTGATTGTTGGTAAGATTGAGCTTATTGTGCTGCAATGCTTCGATATCCCTCTTTCCGATTTGTTGTTCCTGGAGCAGCATGGAAAAATAAAGCTACATGAGTAGTCAGGATCCATTTCAATTTCAGTTTGAGGTAGGTGTCATTAGCAGCTTGACCAAATTGCTGGTCGGTATAGTTGATAGCGAGTCATCATATTGCGCGAGGAGTATCTCAAGAATTGAAAACCACAGGAGTATACAGAGTCTTCGGTTCTAGGTGAAAGTGGTCTCGCTGCTTATCACGCCCATTTAGGCCAAAAAAAAAAAAGCATGACTGTGAGACGATCCTGTGGTTTGGTCCAGTTGATGTGACTTATAACCGGCTGTGGTCAAACGCTGTGCCTCGGCTGGCACCAGCGATGTTCGCCTTTGGCCAGAATGGAGATCCTTCTTGGTACATCCTACCAACGTGCTGTGTTATGCATCCTCTATTGAAACCTTGCCGAAATTTTAATGTTATTTTCTTGCATTATGTCTCTGTTGACATAGCATCCGTTGGCTGCCGGAAGCCGGACTGTGTAAGTAGTCTCCGAATACGGACGGCACTCTCTCTAGGCAACAGTTATTGATACCACCGAGTCGACCTTTTTCCCGTCAATCTTTTACTTCTCTCTTCAACAGATGGTCCAGGGTGACAAGAACCCACCTATTATCACTGAGACAAAGTTGTAGGCTCAGAGTCGTTCATGAGGCTCAATTGACTACCAAGTACTTATTGCACGGCGTCGGCTACTGCTGATATTATCTAATAACTTGGTCCAACTTTGGCCATGAATGACTATTAACAGCAGATAATCGAGCCAATCGACGACATGAGACCGGTCTTCAAGAGATACAGAGCAGTATTCCTCGTCTCGACCGCCTCACAGGAACTCAGCCAAATCAACACCGAAACCGAATTAGCGTTAGGAGAATCACGTCTCCCAAGTACCTTACGTATCAATACTCCTCCTTTGGACGGTTTGAAGTAGACTTTCCGTAAGTTGTTGATATCTACGTGACCAGAGTACCAAGTCCAACACCTCTGCGACCCCGAACGATACGGGGTCTCTTCAAATCTCACGGCGTTTTCGAGGAGGGTCCTGTGCTTCCTCATGACCAGGCTCTGCCTTGATCCCCGTCACCATCTTGTCTCTCTCCCGCTTCAGGCCTCTTGGCTGATCGATGGTGATTTGCTGGCCAACTGAAATCGCGGGGAATATCTGCTGGAGTCCGTGTTGTATGATACCAAGATGCATAGGCATCTGTGTTTGGCCGTTTTCACCGTGGATGTTGAGGTCCAGTACCCTCGGTAAGACTGCCGAAGGCGAAGGAAGCCCTTTTCTTAAATTGGCCATGTCAGATTGTATGTTCCCGGAGATGGCCTGGCCTTGAGTCTGCTGCGCAGCCGAAAGTCCCGTATTTGAGGGCTTCAGATTGTGCTCCTGGAGTAACATCTGCGTCAGTCGAGTCTGTTGGGGAGCCTCCTTTCTCCAGAAATGACAGCCCGATGATGTCCACGTTACGCCCAATTCCTGCGGGCATCCCAGGAAATGTCGTGGCCATTTGTACTGATCACCTCCAACTTCGTACGAGAGTACGCCAAGACCCAAGTACAGGGCCCTGTTACCACCGGTTATGCCATATTTAGCCTCCGCCATCTCCTGGAACTCTTTAACTAATCTTGGAGTGTACGCCTCGAATCCAGGTGCCTTGGAGACATTTTGATGCTGACACCAACCCCCTAGTCGAGCGGCTTCCAGGCGTGTGAGAAGCATTACCAGCTTTGGGCTGTCTTCCCATGGCGATAGGGTCTTCTCTTTCCACGCAAAATGCTTGAGATACTCCTCATTCACCCAGTGACAGAGAAATGTGTCCGGCTTGGATGGCTGAATAATGTCAGCGAAGCACTTCGCCACAGCGGCATCGGTGAGCATTGTTTTGAGTGGCCAGGCCAGGAAGACGTAGTGCTTGGGCTCTGCGTACATATCCCGCGTCTCGATTTCGTTGAGAAACTCCAAGTAAGTTTTCGAAGAGCTCGGTTTTGTTTCCATTTCTTCTGGATTTTTTTATAAAGAATAGAATATGACTCAAGTAATGGCTTCCGTTGTTTTTCCTACAGATCTCACTGCTTTTCGATTGCTATTCTGGAGTATCTGGCACGAAGCATTGCGAGAGCGGATGATCTTTAACCACTGCGCAATGCTTTCTCCGGTAACTCTACGAATGTTCATACCCCAATGGCATTGGAGATACAGATTCCCAGACATTGCTTCTCAAGGTAGCGAAGGTTCGTGTCCGAACAACTAGCTAGCTATTTCAACCTCACAACTGCGGTTTCAACCTTGATGTCCCTATACCATTGACTGGCGACCCCATAGTCACGATTCGCCGGCGCATTGTATAGCAAAAGAAAAAAGGCTTCCCAAGGCAGCCGATAGGCTCCAGATTCATAGTCTTGTAAGAAGCTCATAACACTTTTTGCCGGACTCATATCTCATCTCGTAGACTACTGTCAGTTCCCTGAGTCAACATTACTTCAACGGTTTGTCATTGTATTCAGAAAACTGTGAATAGCCCGGGGAGTACCCCACAAGCCGGTGAACCCAGCAGTTTCTACTCACCTCCAAGAAGAAGAATCCCTAGCCAGCTAGAAGCCCCAATGGTTTGCTGCAAGGCGATGGAGCTCACAAGGGCAATTTCAGCGACTATTTTATCCAATCAGTATCTGTAGAGGCAGCACATTCGGGTATAAACGTGAGGTCGCGACAAGCAATTCACTTACACGCTGCCGGGCGCTTCTTCGGCGATCGACAACCCCATGGGACGATGTGAGATGGGGAGAGCCGCGCCGTCTGCGTAAACTCCGCAAGACTCCGCACATTTCCCCAACTTCTGGCGCCATTCCGTCACCACATACACCAACATTCCACCACGTTAGCTTCCTCTCCCATCCCACATCAACCGCTTCGCGATTAAGTTCGCACAAACTCAGGCCCTACGGCCAACCGTAGCTTCCTCTCTTTACCCCAGAGAACGATCTTTCCTCGGGGCTAACCGTCATTCCATCTCTCTCCCCCATCTTTACCCTCCGGCATTCGTCTCTCCCCTCCGCATTAGTCTGTGCGGGGAAGCTTAAGCTACACCGCAGTCTGGCCGACGATTTTCTTCTCACGATGATGATTCGTTTTCTTTCTTCCTGTAAGACCAATTGAAGCAGGTATTCGTTTGGTAATCAATTGACTGCGACTACAACGCTACACTACTCTCACTATCGGTAGAAAAATGACGCTCATCAACTGGATGGACTGGGGAGGATGGAGGGGTATAAGAACGGCGGCGGACGCCTTTGTCTCGACGACTACACTTTGTTGGATCGCCGCCTTCCTCATCTTCTCTCAGTGTCTCTGGATGCTCTACACCCGCCGCTCAAAGCAATACCCGAGCGAGAAAGGAGAGAAACGACACGACACACAGCGCAACAACGGCAACATGTTTACCCGCGTGCCCTTTCTCCTGTCGGCAGTCGCCATCATGGCGCTCTGCGCGATGGCGAGGGTCGCGGAATTCGGGAAGCCGTTTGCACGGCAGTACCTGGCCTCTACCACGATCAGTAGCGGCCACTCGCAGTTCACCGTCCCCGCGTCGGCAGACGAGGGAGCGCATCTCATTCCCAACATTGAGGACCCGGAGGCCAAGGACCCGCAGAGCGTATGCCCGGGATACACGGCTTCCAACGTCCAGACGACATCACACGGATTCACCGCCAACCTCGACCTCGCCGGCTCAGCTTGCAATTTGTACGGGAACGACGTCGAGGCTTTGACACTCGTTGTCGACTACCTCGCAACGGACCGTCTTCACGTACAGGTGTTGCCGCGGTACCTGGGTGCTGAGAACAACACTTGGTTCATTCTTCCTGAAGAGTTCGTCCCGAAACCCGCTGCAGACGGGAAGGCGAGCTCTGATGGCTCAGACAGCGATTTGGAGTTCAAGTGGGCAAACGAGCCCACTTTCGGCTTCAACGTGTCCAGGAAGAGTACTGGAGATGTTTTGTTCACGACCACAGGAACTAAGCTTGTATTTGAAGATCAATTCTTCGAGTTTGCTTCGCCGCTTCCTGAGAATTACAACCTGTATGGACTTGGTGAAGTTATCCATGGCTTCAAGCTGAACAACAATCTGACTCGTAAGTCTGTACAGGACCAAGGCGTACCAAAACTCACAGGAATAGGCACACTCTACGCGGCTGATGCCGGTGACCCAATCGATGGAAACATCTATGGCTCTCACCCGGTCTATCTCGATACCCGCTACTACCAAGTCGATGCCGATACCAAGTCGGCCGTCTACGTCGCTAATGCCACGGACAAGAATGCCGACTACAAATCCTACACCCACGGAGTTTTCCTCCGTAACGCTCACGCCCAGGAAATCTTGCTTCGGGAGTCGAACATCACCTGGAGAGGCCTGGGTGGCACCATTGACCTCTACTTCTACGCTGGACCGACTGCTGACGCCGTGATGAAGTCCTACCAGAAGACCACCGTCGGCTTGCCTGCCATGCAGCAGTACTGGACTTTCGGCTTCCACCAGTGCAGATGGGGCTATACCAGCTGGGACAACCTGCAGGAGATTGCAGATGACTTTGCCAAGTTTGAGATTCCTCTGGAAACTCTCTGGGGTGAGTTAACCCGTCTCAAAGTCGCCCACAATTCAGAACTAACTACTCCCAGCCGATATTGACTACATGAACCAATACCGCGACTTCGAAGACGACCAAAACTCCTGGGGCTACGAAGATGCTGCCCGTGTCCTCGGTAACCTGCACAAGAACGGCCAACACTTTGTCCCCATCGTCGATTCCGCCATCTACGCCCCCAACCCAGAAAATGCCAGCGATGCCTACCCAACATACGACCGCGGCGTCGAAGCCGACGCCTTCATGCTCAACCCAGACGGATCTCTCTACGTCGGCGCTGTCTGGCCCGGCTACACCGTCTTCCCAGACTGGGTCGGCGCCGTCTTTGGCCGCAGTAAGACGTTTGAGTGGTGGACCACCGAAATGGTGACCTGGTTCCAAAAGGTCGCCTTTGATGGCATCTGGATCGACATGTCCGAAGTCTCCTCCTTCTGCGTCGGAAGCTGCGGCAGTGGGAACCTCACCCTCAATCCCGTCCACCCTCCCTTCTCGCTCCCCGGCGAACCGGGCAACGAAGTCCTCCAGTACCCCGAAGGCTTCAACAAGACCAACGGCACCGAGGCCGCTTCCGTCTCCGCCCTCTCTGCCTCACTGGCAGCCGCCCAATCCACCTCCTCAACCGCAGCAACCTCAGCATCTGCCACTCCCACAACGACATCAACAACCTCATACCTCCGCACCAAGCCCACGCCAGGCGTCCGCAACGTTAACCACCCCCCCTACGTAATCGACAACATCCAAGGCGACCTCGCCGTCCACGCCGTCTCCCCCAACGCAACCCACCATGGCGGCACCCAAGAATACGACTTCCACAACCTCTTCGGTCACCAGATCCTCAACGCCACCTACAACGCCCTCCTCTCCGTCTTCCCCGGCAAACGCCCCTTCATCATCGGCCGCTCCACCTTCGCCGGCTCCGGCAAATGGGCCGGCCACTGGGGCGGCGACAACGCCTCCCTCTGGGCCTACATGTTCTTCTCCATCCCGCAGGCCCTGTCCTTCAGCATCTTCGGCGTGCCCATGTTCGGCGTCGACACGTGCGGCTTCAACGGCAACACCGACATGGAGCTCTGCGCCCGCTGGATGCAGCTCAGCGCCTTCTTCCCCTTTTACCGCAACCACAACGTCCTCGCCGCCATCCCGCAGGAGCCCTACCGCTGGTCCGCCGTCGCCGAGGCCTCGCGCTCCGCCATGGCCATCCGCTACGCGCTGCTGCCGTACATGTACACGGCCTTCTACAAGGCGCACACCCTCGGCGACACCGTCATGCGCGCGCTGGCGTGGGAGTTCTCCGACGAGCCCTGGCTCGCGGGCGCGGATCGGCAGTTCCTTCTCGGCCCGGCGGTCATGGTCACCCCCTGCCTCGAGCAAGGCGCCAGCACCGTCGGCGGTGTATTCCCCGGCGTCGGTAAGGGCACCGTTTGGTATGACTGGTATAACCAGTCCGCCGTCACCGGCGTCTCACCCGGACAGAACGTGACGATCGATGCGCCCCTGGGTCATATTCCGGTCTACCTCCGTGGCGGATACGTTATCCCGACGCAAGAGCCCGCCTTGACGACAACTGAGAGCCGGGCGAACCCTTGGGGTCTACTTGTTGCGCTGGACGGCGAGGGTGCTGCTGCGGGTAGCCTCTATGTTGACGACGGCGAGAGCTTGGAGCAAGAGGCTACTCTGACTGTAGAGGTAATGATTGTCCCCCTTCCATCACAGTTCAAAAACAAAGAGGTCAAAGTAGACGCTAACATGATGAACAGCTCTCCTCTTCCGACCAGTCGCTCAAGGCCACTCCATCTGGCGAGTTCAAGGACTCGAACCCGCTCGGAAACGTCACCGTTCTGGGAGTCCAGAGCGACGTTTCTTCGGTATCTCTTAATGGAAAGGCCCTGGACGGAGCGAATTGGTCCTTTGATTCGTCTTCTCGTGTTCTCCACGTCACTGGTCTGCAGTCTTTCACATCTGCTGGTGCATGGTCATCTTCGTGGGAGCTTACTTGGTCCTAGAAGCCTTGGGGTAAAATAGAACACACCTCGGGCTCGGATCTTTAGTATGTTGAAGAGTATCTAGATAATGTTGCGGTGCGTGGCAGCGAATGAGCAGTGGATGTCACACCAAAAAATGGTTAACTGTACCCGAAGACTGTAAATATCAAGAAGTAGCCGAAAAGAAGAAAAGAGATACTCGCCCCTTTAGCAAAATGAAACCATCTCAACGCTCAGAGGTCCTAGATTTACTGTATTGTTCAGTATCAAATGAAACCAAGTCGTGTGCGCTCATGGTAGTCATGACCAGCGCAAATGCAACTGCTACTCAGCGGCATTGAGTGAACAATGCTTAAGATCCCCGAATCTAGAGCAGTATTATCGATGTGAATAATAGAATTTGGTATCATTGAATACGTTACAGCCCAGCATCCGAGCAATGGTGCCACGTTCAGCCAGCTATCCCATAGCGGCCCCCAAGCCCTCGCAGACTTCACCCAACCTCGCAGTCCTAGTCGAAGCAGCAAAGTCGCACGTCCAGACATGCCCCCATCACCTCGTCCATCAAAGCCTCTCTCAGTGGCCACCACGTCCACGGTATCTCTTATTCCCGCCGCCGCGCCACCGGCCTCCACGACCACCATGCCTCCGATCTCCACCGTGCCCCCGATCATCATGCATATCCCGCTGCCTGTCCCCCCGATGCTGCTGAAACATCTCGCCCTCCTCCCTCTCCCCATCCTTCTTGATCTCCCCTTCCTCGCCCTCAACCTTGGCACTCGGCTTCTCCAAATCCGTCCTCCACCGCGGGTGCGCACCGTACTTGCACCCGGGACCCTCGGGGCAGAACCCGACGAGGTAATACACACATAACTTCCTCCTCACGTGCTTCTTGCTACACCGCGGACCGAGCGGACAGAAGCCCTTGTCGTAGTGCGGGCACGGCGGCAGCTTGGACTGCGGGTCAATGTGCAGATACAAACACTCCTCGCCGTTGGAGCAGTAGCCGTTGCGCATGAAGAAGTTACACTCGGGCATCTTGCGGAGGTTGTACTCGTGCAGGAACTCGCACGACTCGCCCTTTTTGCAGAGGCCGCGGAGCCAGTGCTTGCAGACCAGGGACGGCCCGCCCGTGGGGTTCGAGGAGCTGGAGGAGGCGTGGCGGTCCGGGCAGGCGGCGCCGAGGGGGCAGTGGCCCGCGAGGAAGGGCTTGCATTGCGGACGGTCCGAGGAGAGCTCGTGGCGGTAGGTTTGGCGGAGGAAGGGGGTGAAGGCGAAGGAGGTTGCTGTCGCGGCGTGGGTGAGGATGTGGTTTGTCTCTGGGCGGGGGGCGACGGCTGTCATGTTGGGTGGGTTGCTAGCGCTCCGGAGAGCTTGGGAGGCGTGGGCGGGCTTTGAGGATGTGTCGCAGTTCTGGCTCGCGAGTTGTCGTGGTGAGGATATTGTTTGTCGGGTCCACGTTAGGAGTGCTCGGTCTGTCGTCTAGATTGATCGCACCGGATTGGCATTCGTTGCTTAGCAAGGGTGAAATGAAAGTGGTAGCGTTTTCTGGAGTGGATTATTGTGGAAGGGAAGGTAGAAACACGACTTTAGCTAACGGCAGGTAGGTTGTCCTGGCAGCTTCGAAAGTTTGAATACCCAGATTGGCCAGAAGCTTCACCTTGCGACGCCAAAGAAATTAGTCAGCACCGAGAGCTTCTGTGGGTCAGGTCACATCATGCACGACCCAGACTGGGGTTACCTCGTCCTCTCTCTTTCTTCAACAACACATTACCTACCTTGGGCATAGTGAAAAATCATAATTCTTGCCCTGCAGGTTCAATTCCGCAGCCACGGTTTCAATTATGCAAGTATCGGTCTTCGGAAAGACCCAGACACGAAGCAAATTGTTGCTTATCAGGGTGAGCAGCTTGTGTGCTGAGCAAGTTCAACCTTGACATGATCAAGCAACATGTGCATTTCCGAATATCCTTTAGGGCTAGCTACGAAGTTCGATTTCGGCCATTTTCAAGATCGTCTAATACAGAGCTTTCTTAAAGTGTAATTGGCAATCAAATTCTATATGGGCGGAGAGTAAACCAGACTCTCCCCGCCTCTCAGGCCGCCTCATCGTCAGATGATCCTGCTTCAGGACCGTCATTCTCAGGCGCATCTTCAGGTTTCTGTGCGTACCAGAAGTACTGATTCATGTAGCGATGCGCGCTCCTGTCTTTGATGGCCTGTCTGAGAGTCGCCAGCCATACCTGCCTCTCAACCGCCTCAATACCCAATGCCTCAAAAGGCTTACCGACAAATGCTGCAGCGACGCCGCTGAGCGCTTCTTGCATGTATTTGCCAACGAGACGCAAGGTAGGATCCTTTGGCCAGGTGCCAATGGGGCATTTCTTCACCTCGCATTGGATGTTCTTGAAGCCGGCTGCTTCGAGCCGGGGCTTCATGTCGCGAGCATTATGGAACTGAAGGCCAAAGAGGCTGAAGGCTTCGTTGCCCATTTCCCAGAAGCGTTTGACCGTGTCATCTTCTGGAACGGTGCCGTCGTCGCACTGGACTTCTCCATGGAGCTCCTGAAATTCGATCCAGCCGCCGTTCTTCAAGTGCCTGTATGCGAGTTTGAGAATCATATCTGACGAACATTCATGGGCCTTTACTTACTTGTACGAACTGGCAATGACTTTGTCAATTTTCTTCAGCGACATTCCCATCATGCGGAAGTGGACCAGGTCAAAGTTGTCGCCATTCAGCCAATCATCCTCAGCATCATCCACGAGGAACTTCACGTTGGGGGGAATCCACCCCGGCTGGATTGGTGACAGGTCGATGCCCAAGACTGTGGTCGTAGGGAAAAGGTCGGCGACTCAAATCAAAGGTTAGCCCTCAGGAGCTACCTCTCGTTATCAGGAAGATATTAGATCACCTTCGATGGCCCAAATGCCTAGAATGTTTTGTTAGCTGGAATTTTGCAATAACAATTTCATCAAGAATTACTTGCCAGTGCCTGTTCCAATATCGATAATCTTGTGAGGATTGTCTCCAATTGGTGCATAGAACAACTTTCCGTCCTAAGATCGGCATCACAAGGTCAGTTTACATCCAGAAGGCATGATTCTTCACGCCGCAGAAAACACTCACACAGAGTTCAAGATTCATCACATGCTTCATGTTCTCCCGGCCCTGCTCCTCGTCATCATTTGGCAAAGGATACCGGCCATGGCGGTAGCTGTGGTAGCGACGTCCATTGTCGTACTCATGAGAATAGACGCTGGAGGTAACGGAGGCCGACTCGACGGAAGACACATCCCAGTCCACAGGGTCGAATTCGTCTTCATCCACAGGCCCCGCGGCCGCTTCGATGATGGCGGGGTGCTGAAGAGCGGGATTGGCGTTGTTCGACATGGCTCCAGATAACTGTCCGGTCCAAGGGGTGTCCTCGAAGCTAATGGGCGGAAGAGAAGCAGGGGATCCCAGGCTCGAGTCAGACACCACGGAAGCTATGCTTAGCACTAATGCGCACCGTAGAGCAAATAGCGCCTGGCGACTTGGCTGCGCTGTATATGGCAAACAGTGATACTTGGTGGAATTTTGGAGTTTTGGTAACCTCTAAAGTCGCATGGAACCAGGAGAAACGACGAGATTGTCAAACTTATCACCGCAGTAGAAATTGAGACCTCGGAGACTCGGAAGAGTGGGAGAGCCGGGGGTATCCTGAAGAACAACATGTGTTCTGTTGGTTCCATCTCACCCGGTTATGGACCTGTCCCCATGTTACCGAGTGAGGAGACGCAGCAGTATCAGGCAATGCTCCAACGGACAAGAAACACTTCATTGGGTGTCGGCCGAGGTTTAGATCAAGGGGCAGCAGAGATTGGTAGGTGAGTGACATGAAGACAGGGGGATATGCTCCGCTTTTGCAAGCCAAGCGGCACAGGATAATGTTTGTCCAGGAAAAACGAATAAAAAGATGTGACAGACCGGGCCTGATGGAAGAACTGTACTGAACAGTGGGCTCCAGACAGCCGTTTTCCGGCGAGCTGCATGGTAGCTATTATGATTTTCCGCCATGAAGGGGTTGGGAACTCTGAATAAGAGCATCGGACGGGGTTCGCGTTGATGATAGGTATGGGAGTGAAGTCGAAAGCAAGCTATGATTCGGATTGGCAGCGGCCCATGCTATTAAAACGCACGACCACGGGAGGAAAAGGGCGCGAATAACTTGTAGTATTTATTGCAGCATCTAGGGTTCGTCACGGCCCTATCTCAAGATTCCCGGGGCTGAGCCCCTCACGTTGGAGCCGGAAAGCAGATGACACTGGAGGAAACTTGTCGACGGGCATTAGGTTGCAGAGAAGAAAGAGGAAACAGCGGTTGCCAAGTCTTCAGGGCACCGTAAAAGGTACGATTAGGTCAGGTAAGGTTGTCCGAGCTGGCATCCTAAAAGATCGGGGAGCGTCCAACCAAATATCAGCGAAAATTTGTCGCCAGATTCAAGCGGTTGGATGACCCCTCATGTTCTTGCTGAGCCGGCCCGTTGCGGTCACGCAATCAGGAAATGCAACCTCAGAATTTAGGTTTCTGCTATTCGTAGTGCCCCTGCAAAGAACATACAATGCCTACCATCTGAAGTTGAACCGTTTCGGGAACACATTTGACGCAGACAAAGGCGAGAACCTGCCAGAACCTGCCAGAACCTACGTTAGGTAAGGTGACTGGAAGTGTACGACAATGTAAGGTGAGGGGGAAGGTGCCTACCATATTGAGGCATGCTGAAGAAAGAGCCCGTTACCAAGGAAGTCAAGCAGGAGGGCACGTGGAGGGATAGAGGGAAGGAATAACGCGTCCATTGAAGTCTAGTAGGGAGGACCCACCTTCTTCGGCCGTCGTTTCCTACAAGCTCGAAATGTTCCTAGGGTTCAAACAATTGATCCATCACGAACGGCTTAGCTCAAGAACGTTGACCCAGCACGCAGAATGACATGCGCCTTCCTTTTTCTTCTTTTTTCTTTTCTTTCTTCTCTTGCATTTGACCCCATCGCCGGCTCCTTTGTCCCAGATGGAGGAGGGGCCCTGCTGGCCCGATAGCTCCTCGTTGCATCCAAAGGTACCTTCAGTGTAAGGTATTGAGTTTATTTCAATCCCGCCCTTTACCCAATCGCTTAACTTGCTCCAGTATTCAAGTATCTTCATTAGGTAAGTACCTAAGTCGAGGAAGACAAGTTGAGGTACGCACCTGCCGGTCCTGCCCACCTGCCCACCTGCCCGAGAACTCGAGGTGTCGAGACAGAGATGGACCCGGCCTGCGGGACTTACACCTTCCCAACTTTCTTTCCTCCGAAGTCCAAACTCCAACCTCCTCCTTCTTGCAGCTGCAGGTGTGGAAAGTCACACCTTGCAGGCAGGCGGAGACCAACCGGACCCTTGGCCTCCTTCTACAATACTCCGTACCCGACTTGCCTACGGAGTACTGTGCCTTCAGGTTCTGGCATTTGGGACATGGAATGAAGTGGGAGCAAATCCAATGACCCCGCACCCTTGGCCTTTGGCCGATGAAATGTTTGCTCCAACAACGCCACAAATCCAACGACATCGTTTTTCTTTCGCTCTCTCCTCTTGCGTTTCTCTGCCGTGCACCTGTCTCCTCCCGCCTCCTTTCAAAAGCGATTCCAATCAATAGCTTACCTAGTCACTCTTCAGACTATTTGTCCCGTCGCCTTCCCCCCCTCATTTCCACTCGCAGGCACCAGTTGTTATAGCGCGCTTCTGCCATGTTTTCACCTGCCATACCGCCAAATTTAGAGACGTGCGCCTTGCCCTCGTTCTAACCAGGCCGGAAGCGTCTTGGCGTTTCTTCAACCTCGAATCTCTGACATGCTTCGCTCCGATACGGAGGAGACAGAACGCACAATACGATGCCTTCTTCAGACCCTGACTAGAGTTTGCCCGGGATCCATCGACTTGTGCCCTCATGGCATCCAATGGCTGAAGCCGACTACTGCGACTGACTTACATATGGAGCCCTGCTCGCATATCTTCGTACGTACAGACACCAAAGACAGGGTGCTGCGTGGGCACACGAAATGCCTACGGTAGGGTCACAGAACCACATCACGGATCAACGTTTGAGACCTCTATTTCACTCTTGATCTGCATGCCAGAGACAGTATGGGCACACACAATACAGACGTCCTCTTATAGCACTGTGTCTTTCGTGGGCCCATACGACTTGTCCGGCGACGCAACTCGACAAGACACGACCAGTGCGCCGGACGCACATCAAAGACAGCACCTCCATGTCCGCTTCGTCGTCGACTTGCCATTGGCCCCGAATGGCACCAACAATGGGCAAACAAGACAACAATCCGCCCTCGCATATCAGTCACACCATGCAACTGTCGCCTATTCATCGATACCCAACTCGGCCATCCCTCATGCAATGACCTCATTTATCCAAATCGTCGGATTTCCCAACAGTCAGGGCCGCTTCCGATGTTCCGTCATGTGCTGCCAGCGTGGCATGCAGTCCTTCTGCACCCATCCTCCACCTCAACCCATCGACTCTGTCGGCTGTTTCCATCGTTTGGTGGGGCACATCACGCAGCCAAGCTGCTGCTACATGTCCCCCTCGACGACCCCTCCCCTGCCCATCAACTCTCGCAACTATGCTACTGGTCAAATCGCACACAGAGACGGCCGTCCTGAGAGACACAATTCCAGTTTGTCACTTATGCTCAAACCTCGACGCAGACGCTCCCTCTGCCCAGCCCGGCTTGCTCGACGCTCAACTTCACCGCCTGAAGTTGATTCTCCTTGCGTGTCCGTGTGTGATTCACTGACCAGCCCCCGGCCTACCGGCGCAGGAGCTGGGATCTACCCACTTCAAAAACAACAGACACCGCCGTGCCGCCCGAAGGTTTCAGTGCATATCGATTCGCCAGTCGATCCACTCTTTGCACGTCAGTGTGATGACCATTGTCTGTAATGGCTCAATTCAGTCCATAGCGAATTCGGCCCTCGCTCATCCGGCCACGGGCAGCAACTGACCCTGGGAGATCGGGAGCGAGTGCGGGATACACTCCTCGGAAACGTCGGTGGGAGCGTGGCACAGCATGCTACTCGGCCCATCGCAGGGAAGCAGGTTGTTTTAGAGTTTTGGTACACCACAGCAGAAATACCGCCTCGCTGTCTTGCCGCACGTCTCGTCGTCTTAGCCTGGCAACGCCTCGTGGATTCTCCAGCCATGCTTTCTTTTTTCCAGGCCGGTTGCCCTGCTTGGTTGCCTACAACTAATACGGTACTCCTTACCATGGATTCGATCAGTTCTACAGCTCGAAGCCACATTCAGGGACTGGGGTATTTTCCCCAGCCTCGGCATCCTGGCTTCGAAGGCTTCTCACCTTTAAGCGACAATCTCCCCCAGGTTACCAGAGATATCAAATGACCGAGGAATGACCATCGGGTTCCAATGTCGCTTCGTGGCTGACGGTGGCGCTTTCCAGAGCTAGTCGGAAATAACAAGCATGTCTCGAATCTGGTTCCAAGTCTTCTGCCAGTTTCATGCCGAAATTAGTCTTGCTGCAAGTGTTCATTCACATCGCTTCTTTCCGTGGTTCGGCAACCTGATCCGGTTATGGCAATATCAACGTCCGTGTGCAAGAGCCGAACGAACTTCCTACGCAACGAGGCTGGATGGCCGGCCGTGGAGCACTCAAGATCCTCCTAGAGCGTACCTAGTTTGCCGACCAGCCCGACGTCTGATTGTCAGAGAAACAGGCACCACAACTGCTGAGCCCATCATTGCAGCTCGCTAGACCAAAGCTCTCCCCCGCTATTGCCCTGCCGCCCTGCCGTGGGCACAACGGCGATGTTCGCATTGGCGACCGAGAGTAACCACGGCAGGAATGCGGCTGTTCACTACTCTGCTCGCGCCTGAACAATAACACAACAAGGCACGGACATGGGCGTCGAGAACTTTTGGGGCGCTGGCCTGGTTCCCTAGGACCTAGGTACATCACAGCTAAGACCCGCATGCAAGGCCGGGCGAGCGTGGAGAATCCAGCTGGAAGACGCAGAAGAAGTGGACGAACAAAAACGAGGAGGAAGAGGAAGAAGGACCAAAGTAGCGGTGCGATGTGCAGGGATCATTCCTGTTCGTTGCAACCCTGATCGTCAACTGCCGCCAAGGGTCGGTGGTCGTGGCCGAAGGCCGGCTTTGAACTGAGGGAACAGACTCGCGCTGGTGCTAACTCACAGACATAGAGAAGAGAGAGTCAGGACGCCGACGAGCGAGCGAACTAATCAAAACAACGGCGCCAGTGGCCGGGCATGGCCGCCCTACTATTACGATGCCTTGCAATTTGGCTTTGGCAGCCATCTCCTCATCCTTCTCCGCCTCTTCGTCT